CAATTGCCTAATGATGCTGGAAGAGCATCTCTGTGTCTCTTGATGTAATGATATATCAGCATGTTTTTGACCCAGGCCTGTTCTCTGAGATCTCTTGCTTTTAGATTATATGGATTTTGCAGTTGATTTATTGATTTAAAGACTTGGATCATGCTGGTGGATTTACATGTTAAATTTTAGGGACTGGATCCATCATCAGGTTGAGTCCATTTCATTATGTTGTCATTGATTATGTTGCTGCAGCACAAGGTGAGTACAAGGTTTTTCTGTTTGAGATCATGTACAAAAACAATGATTTCTGTGATTTTTAAAAACATTTCAGACACTTGAAATGAAAACTATTTTAGTTTTGCAAGATTAATGTTTTCTCTGTCCCTTGAAGTCACAGAAATCAAGTCTGTAAGTGTTGTTCTGGTCCGAACAGCAGCTGAAATCTTGTCTTTTGAAATGCTCATTGATTTGCACCCTGGGCCGAGTTCACAGTCCAGTACTCACTGAAGGCCTGAGGACGATACAGTATGTGCCTGTGTCTGACTGTCAGCTTCAGCAGCATGTGTCACTATGGGCCACTTTATAATTTTATTCATGAATTTATTTCCTGCTCCCCGAAGTGACTTGCATTGTATTCAATGTCTCAGTTTTTATCAGTTCATGCATTTACTCAGAATCAAACTCATGACCTTAGTGTTTGAGCTACACAGCATCTAATGTAGTGAAGAGAATGACAACAAACGTGTCTGAGACGTGATATAAAGAGGGGAAGACAGTAATATTAGCAAGATCAAGACAGGTAGCGTGTGGAAAAATGAGAGAAAAATGGTCAGTAATTTTATGTTCTGAGATGAAATGTGATGCTTTAGTCGCCAAAAGTCTGTTCGCAAACAGAAGCTGTGAGAACATCGCAGTTCATTAATGCAGTGCGGACCGCCGGACACCATCATATCACGGACAGCTGGTGCTGAGACTCGAGAAGATGGCCAGAGAGAGACAGAATTAAAGTCAAACTCTCTGTTTGTGTAGTTTTTTTGCGTCTTCTGTTTGTAGTGAAATACTGTTGTTTAGTACTTTGTTTTAGAGTTTTTGTTTTGTTTAATTAGTCCTATTTAGAGTCAGCTTTTGCTCAGGTTTCATGTTGTCCCTTTAACTGAGATTCTCATTGTTTTTGTGTTTGATAACCAAAAATATCACCTGATAGTTAGTTAATATTGTCCCCGTTGCGTCATTGTTGTTAGCTTCTGTTTTTTTTATATAGTGTTGTTATTTGCTTTCTCCATAGCTTGATTGTTGTTTAACTACATTTAAAGTCTTAGTAAATGAGCGTATCAGCCTGATTTCTTTCCTGCATTCATATTATCTCTTCAACAATCGCACTCCTTTTCATTTAATATCTGCGTCTCTTCATCTCTGTCTAGATGGAAAGGCTTTGGATGCATATTAAAGTGTATCCGTATGGAATTGAGTGAGGAAAGCTCAGGTCAAGAGCAGGAGAGTCTGCGGCTCTCAGATAACACCGTCCTGTCCGTTGGAAATAGAGCTGAAATCCTGAGCCGCACACAGGTGATTATGATTGCAGTGTGATCATCACTGCCTGTTTGTCTATATGAGAGTGATGATAGTAAACTCTGTGGCTCTTTATATTAACTGGAGTTTTGCAACAATGACAGCAGTGTCTTTATGGCTATGAGTTCCTTCAAATGTAATTTTATTGAGCTTTAAGAATAACATTAAATCATTAAGGAGAGTTAATGATCTGCTCAGAACAAACACATTAGTAAAAGCGTCAGGTATGGTCCTTAACTTAATTAGCTACAATTAGTCATATCACCATGTGTAAGTCTTGATTATTTCAATAGATTGAGTTTCACGCATCCAGAGCATGACCTTCCTCAATGCTTAATTAATTTACATACAGTTCAACTAATCACATTAATATGGTGTATATTTCCATGTTAACAACTAGATATTGAATGAGATTTTGTTTTGCTGCATAATTGTTCTAAATTATTATTATTTTGTAATTACCGTACATTAAAACAGAGGTGCCCTTTTTTATATAATAAAAATTGATTGAGGTCTGTGGAACGAAAGGTTGAATTATATCCAGTAATATTATAAAAAATATTTTTTCATTACAAAAATACAAACAAACAAAAAATAAATAAATAAACAAAAAGATAAATTAGATATGCTTCTATGGTGTGTTTGTTCCCTATTTTTTCCCCATCTTGTGACATGGCATGGTGGGCCAAATTGAAGGTCATCATGGGCCAACTTTGGCAGGCCCTTTTTTAGGCAACTACGAATTTTATAAGTTTATAAAGGTTTTAAATGTCATTACCTTAAACACGTAGATGCTAATAAATTATGCAGCAAGTGAGGGACACAGATGCATAAGGAAAGAGAGAGCAAGTCTACTTCCATGGTTTTAAAATGTGATTATTTTATTATGATTATTTTTCTGGTTCACTGGTTTGTGTGTGTGTTCTTTCCTCTCAGTCATGTCCAGGTCTGCTCCCCAGTGTGCTTTTGCCAGTCTGTGCAAGCTGCCCACTGTGCCGCCCCAGAAGTGGGCATTAGTCCTCTAATTAAACTTCTTTATGGTTTGGGTGGCACAGAGCGCAGGCACATGTCATGCCAAGCCTTGTTTATACATGCCAGCCTCTGCTGTGCCCTGCCAAACTTTGCCACCTGACAGTATGCCAGCTTCTACATCTGAAGCCAGATCTACACCAGACTGTGCCAGTGATGAAGGTCCTTGCCAAGCAGTGTCACAGCATGCCAGACATTACCATTCAACGCCAGTCTCACCATGCCTAGAGTGAGTTCTTATAAAGCTGCTGCTATTTAACAGGGACCTTCTTGAGTGTATTCAGAAACCCAGGACGAATAGAAAAGATATTAGTTTTATTCTTACTTGTCTAATATATACAGTACCAGTCATACGTTTGAAATCATGATTTTTTTTTTAAAGAAGTCTCTTATGCTCACCAAGACTGCATTTATTTGATCAAACGTACAGTGAGAACAGTAATATTGTGAAATATTATTACAATTTAAAAGAACTGTTTCCTAATTCAATTTAGATTCAACTGTAATTTATTTCTGTGATCAAAGATGTATTTTTATCACCATTACTCCAGTCTTCAGTGTCACATGATATTCAGAAATCATTCTGATTTACTGCTCAAGAAACATTTCTGATTATTATCAGTGTTTTAAACAGTTGTGCTGCTTCATATTTTTGTGGAAAGTATGATACATTACAGTTCAAATGTTTGGAGTCAGTAAAATGGTAAAAATGGAGAAGCAGGTGAATTTGAGTGGACTAAAGCTGGAAAACATACCAGATTGAGGCAAGCAAATCCATTTATGCTCTTTTTAAGTAACCTCACAAAATTTGCTGCAGTAAATACAGTTTGTAGTGATGTCTTCAGTTGTTGTTACTTCTGTAAATACTTTTTTCTTTTGTTTGACAATGGTGGCTAATACAGTTACCCTCAGCTTTACTGTACTAACAATAACTTCAGTAACAGTAAAACCATTTTTTTTTATTAATTATGCTCACATTTATAAGAGTACATGCTCCAAAGATTTATTGCAAAATATTGCAGGTAAAGGCCAAAGTTCAATTCATTGCATGAACTGATAAAATGTGTAGTTTGAAAGCAATTCAAGTCATTTTAGATAAAAGCATTTGCCAAATGCGTAAGTGTAAATGTGAAACATAGTGCATTATTGATGAGATATGAAAAGCCGGATCACATAATTTCCTAATTTTGTACATGCTTAGTTTGTATTGCTCTTTTGTAGTTTATGTAAATTGGGAGCCCGTTAGTTTTGAGATGGTAATGCGATGCCGGGTTAATCTGGTAATGGTGACCTGTAGACATCCAGGTTAACGGCAGATTGCTGTCACCAGTGCGATCTTAACCCACACATACACAAGACGGTTCCTGCATTCAGGTTGCTGTAAGTTAGGAAATGTCTCTTTAACAGGAATGAACTCAGCAGACATGAAGCATAAGACCGAACAGAGAGCTGATGCTAAATGCAAAACCAGTTAATACATGTGGCCGACTAATCTGCGAGCTGTTCCCACAGCAGCCAGATGAGAGAGTAGTCCACCTGTTTTCAATACAAGACCAACAAGGGCCAGAGCTTACAGAAGCTTGATTGAGGTATATGAATTAAGATATTTTGGGATAATTAGGTGTCTTAGTGTCAAATATTATGACTGTTTGAAACACATATGCTGTCATAAGTACAGTGTGCATGTTAATACACTCATGAACTCAGGCTTTCCTCTTGTGTGTGAGTCTAAATATGGATGCCAGAAAGATGCAAATCTACCATAAGTTCACATGGCTAATGTGCATTCATATGCATTTCCATCCATGCCATGTTTTCTGGAGCAGGTGTTCAAACAGGCTGATGAATAATGAGCTCTTTGCTGGTCTCCATCCAGATTTTAATATAAAGTATGCTGATATACAGCCGTCTCAAATCTACCATTAACACCTTTATTTTATTTTTATCCGTATACCTTCACTTATTAGAACATTTCCAAAACAAATGATCACTGAGTTGATCATTCTATTTATGATTTGAACTTGAAAACAAATTTTTGATTGGCCCTGAAAGTGTTTTGTTCCAAAGAAGTCTAAACATAGTTTCAATTGTTTTTCAAGTGTTGGTATTTGAACAATGATTGGACTTCATTTTTCCTGTAAGAGAAAGAAGATGTTTTGCACGCTAGCATTTGTCCTTTTGTGTTCCACACATCTAACAAAAACTTAATCTGAGTGTTTCCATGCTAAAATATTAAGGAAACCAAATAAATGAACATCGTAACTGTTTTGATTTAAAATATATATATATATTTTTTTTTTTGATTGTGGTTTTATCACAGTTTCGTCTCATGTTGCTTGACTCCTGAAAAACCAGTTCTGCAGAGAAACACCCACAGTTCTTTGAAAATATAAACGTGGAAGAAAATTCAATGCTTCTGTTGAGCAAGTTACGAAGTCAGAGGAGGACAAAAAACATTGCCAGTTATTGCCATTATTCAAGGTAAGTTAGTAAATATCATAATAAATATAGTAAATAATATTAAAACTATATATTATGTTAGCAATTTTAAGTTACTAACCTATGTTTAAGTATCACATTTCCAGTAATCACTGCAGATTCATGAAGCACGTCGAATAGATCTTAGTCACAATAGACACCATGAATTTAACACAGATGAAAATGAAGCTTTCTGGGACAAACTTACGGTCTTTACATGGCACTTACTGCATTCTGTGTCAAAATCAACCAAATTTCAGAAACTTCTCAATATGGCTCCAGGAGTAAATTATTAAATTGTACACATTTTCATTGGTCAAAACCCAAATGTGGATCACTTTGCATATACAGGATACGTTTTTCTTTTAAAGAGGAACGTCTGAAGAACAAATAATGTTGAAACTAGTAATAAAACTAGTAAATCTTGTTTCCTTCCATCAAAACGGCATTGTACACACCTGTCTGAGTGCCATAAATATTCTTTTTCCAAAGTTTGCATGCCTATAAATCAAGAAGTATTAGAGATATTGCAATGTTTTTACATTCTGATTCTTAATAAACTTTTAGACTTGTAGGCCCTACATCATTCAGTCCCAGAGATGGGGATCTCAGTGCGGCTCCATGTCCAGATTGATGAATATTACCCATTTTCAGTGACTGAAAGCCAAATGCTGGTCACTTACACATACAGCTGATGCTTATTGTATTTAAAGGGGAATGTCTAAAGAATAAATAATGTTGAAACTAGAAATGTAGCTTGAAAATGAATGTTTCACTGTAGTTGATCTGATCACAGTGTGATTTCATCATGCATATGTTTGCACTGCATAGACCCCTGCTATAAAACTCAGACTACTTTTTCTTATTTCTCGTTCAACAGTCCATGAAGGACTATGGAATCTGCGTTAGAACTGCTTTATAATACTCTAGATGACCTGGAAAAAGAAAATATAAAGAGATTTAGGAGTCTCTTAAAAGAAGATGGGCGCATTGGAGCTGGTAAACTGGAGGATGCTGGTGGCACTGACGTAGTGGATCTGATGGTGGAGTGTTATGGACCAGAAGAAGCTGTAAAGATCACACTGAAGATCCTGAGGAAGGTGAACCAGAACCAGCTGGCTAAAGAGTTACAGGACAAGCACGAAGAAGGTAATAAAGGCAAAAATACTGATCACAGAAAAAGAGGCAGCACAGATTCAGAGAAGGGAGTATATCCATAAGCAGCCATGAGCACAATATTAGAGCCTTGAATTTGATGTGGAGAGCTACCTGTTCAGTAGAGGTGTTACCGTTCTAGTTTCTCACGGTTCGGTATGTTTTGTGGTTTTGAGGTCACGGATTTGATTTGGTTCGGTATTGGGCGGGGATTGCTGGGGCGAGGTATTCTTAATGTGTTATCAGAAATTACTACAAGAATACTAATTTGTTGAAAAAATTTGCCTTAAAAAAAAAACAAAAAACCCTTTCAGTAAATATTCTGTAGTTGTGCTCTTTTCTGATATGCTCCATCATGCATGCGTATATTTAAGTTTTTGAAGTTTAACCGTGACTCGATTGCTGATAAAACAAGTTGTTTGCAAAATAGAAACAAGCGCATTGATTTCAGTTCATTATATTTAAAAAATGTCAAAAACATTGGAAATGAATGTAATAGAGTTTGATTGACTAAAGATTCTAATGGTGAGCTTGGACACAGGACAAAGCTCAAATCATAAATGAATCTCGATCCAAAAACAATATGTATTTTTATATTATAAATGCTTGCAAATTCTCCTCTATTTGTTAAAGGCAGGTTAGGTGATGTGGTTCAGAAACATTTTTATTAGGCTGGTTAAAAGTCTCTTCACATCCAGATAATCGCTATGTTAAGTGGTCTAAATCTATTTGTGTGTATTTATATAATCTGTGGAAGGTGTAGGACCATAAAATGTTCGTCCAATCATATTCCTCGGCCCGAGGCTATAATAGGCTGTCCTACCTGCCTGTCAACATATGTGCTTGTATACTTCCACACACCCTGTTCACGCAGACACGATATTTCATCAAGACCGAGCGAGAATGGAAGGCGTTATTATTGTAATATTATTTGGAAGTTGTCACTCTGATTTACTATTTGAGTCACTATTTGGAAGGGAGGTACACCATGGAAGTACCGCAGTACATACCATGGGTGGTGCATCACAGTTTTCTCGGTTCGGTTTGACTATTTTTAGACCCCTACTGTTCAGTAGCCAATGGAAGAAGACCAAAAGGGCTTTAACATGTGTCCTCTTGAGATGGTCAAAGAGGAAACCAACCAAAGAGAGCCCATGTCACACAAGCAAACCTGAGCATAAAAAAGAGGAGAGACAGTGATTTCAATAAATACATGGCCAGACATAAAGGAGTAGCAATAAAACTCTTGCTGATCCAGATAAATGTATTAATGGGATCTATTACTCGCTGGTTTTCTGTATTTCCAGGGTGCACAGTTCTTGTCTCACTACTTGTAATGTGAAAACTTGATAAGACACATTGCTAATACTAACATCTGAGTAAAGACTAGTAGAGTTTAACAGCTTGATAATTCCACTAATACTCATTGGTTGCACTACATTGTAAAAGGTTGGGATCAGTAAGATTTTTATGCTTTTGAAAGAACTTTGTTCGCTAAAGCTGCATTTATTTGATCAATACAGTTAGAAAAAAGTAATATTGTAAAATATTACAATTTAAAATAATTTTCTGTTATTATCAGTGTTGAGAATTGTTGTGCTGCTTGATATTTTGTGGAAACTGTGATACATTATATTTTTCAGGATTCACAAATGAACAAAGTTTGAGGAACAGCATTTATTTAAAGTATAAATCTTTTGTAACTTTATAAATGTAGTTCTTGACCAATAATGCATCCTTGCCGAACAAAAAGATCAATTTCTTAAAAAATAAAAAAATTAAAATTATAGTGATCCCAAACTTTTAAACAGTAATGTATATATAAAGCTACTGTTCAGGTTACATTGATACCTTGTAGTTCTATATTTTTCTCATTCTTCTTTCTCTCTTCACAGTGCAAAAATCATTAGAGGCAGCTGAGAAACCCACGAGAGAACGAGGTGAACCATCTTAGGTCACGTCTTTACATTGGGTTTAGAAATGATTTTAGCATGTTTGATGCATATTGATTTCAGTACAGAATTGCTTTCAGTACTATGTATTAACATGCCATATTTCTGCACCACTTGATTTTGATGACAGTCATGCCAATGTGAAAAACCTTTGTGTTTAATTTTCTGATGTTGTTTTATTCCCACCTTTTCCCTTTTATTTATATTTTTCCATAACAGATTTCTGGCTGCAGGAATTCTTGAAAACTCACAAAATGAAAATGAAGGAGAACGTGGAACACATATTTCAGGGTAAAGAGGCAAAGGAAGAGCATCTGAAGAATGTTTTCACAGAACTCTTCATTACGGAGGGGGATATTGAAAAAGTCAATCATGAACATGAGGTTCTGCAGATTGATGATGCCTTTAAAACCTGTAAATCACAGAACAGGTCAATCAAATGCAATGATGTATTTAGTCTGAACAAAAATGAGAAGAAAAAGATTGTGTTGACCAAAGGCATCGCTGGCATTGGAAAAACTGTCTCAGTGCACAAGTTCATTCTGGACTGGGCAGAAGGAAAAGCCAATGGCAATATTGACTGTGTGTTTCTGCTTCCGTTCCGAAAGATTAACTGCATTAAAAACAGAGCGATCAGTCTGCATGAGTTTCTACAGAAGTTTAATCCTGAAATGCAGGACCTAGAAACAACAAAGATAAATAAGGTATATAAATGTACGCTTGCGTTTATCTTTGATGGACTGGATGAGAGTCGACTGTCTCTGGATTTTGACAGTGGAATGGTGACGAGTGTTGAGGAGCGATCATCTGTAGATGAACTGTTTGCAAGTCTGGTGAACAGGACTCTGCTTCCATCAGCGCTCGTCTGGGTGACCTCACGACCAGCAGCAGCCAATCAGATCCCTCCTGAGTATGTCGGGTTGTTCACAGAGGTGCGAGGATTCACTGACCAGCAGAAGGAGGAGTACTTCAGCAAGAGATTCAAAGATACAACTCAGACCTCCAGAATGATCTCACACATTAAGAAATCTCGAAGTCTCTACATCATGTGCTACATTCCCGTGTTCTGTTGGATCACAGCTACTGTTCTTCAAGACATCCCTATTGGGAACAACGCAGAGGACATCAACACAACACTCACTGAAATGTACATCCACTTCCTGCTGATACAGATGAACATGAAAAGCCAGAAGTATGACAGAAAAAAACAAAGAGAACATACCAAGCTCTTAGATTCCAATGAAACAATGATTTTGAAGTTAGCCAAGCTAGCGTTTGAACAACTAAAGAAGGAAAATATTGTTTTCTACGAGAAAGATCTGCAAGCATGTGATATTGATGTGAGTGACTTTGAGTCCACTGGAATGCTGACTGAGATCTTTCAGCAAGAGGCTGGACTTCACGAGGTGAAGGTCTTCTGCTTTGTGCATCTGAGTGTTCAAGAGTTTCTCGCTGCAGTGCATGTGTTCCTCTGCTACCTGAACAAGAACATGGAGGAGCTTCAGTTTTTCTTTGAAGAAACACAGAATAAGGTCAGGCTTAACTGTGAGCTTCAGTCTGAAAGTCCATTGCATTATTTACTAGTGAAGGCTGTTGAGAAAGCAATGCAGAGTCAGAGAGGACATTTAGACCTCTTTTTGCGGTTTCTGATGGGCATTTCACTGGAATCCAATCAGAACCTGCTCAGAGGCCTGTTCCCTCACACTGAAGACAGCAAAGACAGCGTCACAAAAACAACCGAGCACATTAGAAAACTATTAGAAGAGTACATCTCACCTGAAACTTCAGTAAACCTGTTTTACTGCTTACTGGAGCTCAGTGACAATTCATTATATATGGAAATCCAAAGTTACATCAAATCAAATACAAGAAACGACCTCTCATCTTCCATGTGTTCATTGCTGGCCTATGTACTGCTGATGTCAGAGGAGGTGCTGGATGAGCTCGACCTGACGATGTACGGGACATTATCGGGAGACCGCAGGACACTCCTCCCAGCTGTGAGATGCTGCAGAAAAGCCATGTAAGTAACTTGTTGACAGTTGTTTAATTTGTTTAGCTCTAAAAAAACAATTTCAGTGTAAACTGCAGTCTGAAGTCTCTTACGCTTTTACTGATTTTGGAGATTAAAATCTATATTTACTTGATTAAATTTAGTAGTAAACATAGTAATTTCATAGAAATGCAGTTGAGAATTTTTTATTTCACTTGTCTTTTAACATATTTTGCAGCATACATGGAAGATTTTTTTTTCTTTTAGAAAGCTTGAATATTTACAAATAACATGGCACAACATATCAAACGACATGGTTCATACAAAATAAACACAAAAATATGTCTTGGACAAATATTTTGTTTTTACAGACTCTGTGATTGTGACCTCGATGATATCTGCTGTGAAACTGTGGCTGTGGCACTGCAGATACCAGACTCCCGTCTGATGGATCTGGACATGAGTCACAATGAGCTGCAGGACTCAGGAGTGAAGCTGCTCTCTGATGCACTGAAGAAACCAGACTGTCAGCTGAAGATACTGAGGTTTGAGAATCAGATGTGTTTTTATTATGTTCATTTGATACACATGAGGTATAATCACCCAAATCAAATAAGTCATTGAAAGTTAAAAAGCCTTTATTCTCATTATGGTCATCACAATCTGAGCATTAAAAATGACTACAACACTGCACACTGATGCATTTCAGCCTTCAGCCTTCCTCAGAGTGTGTCAGGAACCAAATGAATGACACGTGTAGGTATAATTAATCAGTGAAGTTGAGAGAAACTTTTGTGATTTTTTTTTTTTAATTACCATTAGAAGGATGAACAATACAGTTTTTTTTATCATATTTATCCAAACATTTGCCTGTCATTCAAAATCCTCAAATATGGCACTAGGCACATCCAAGTGTTTGTGTGGAGTGTGGAGCTGTTAGTGTGTACTGCATGACATGAAGGCACCAGTGCAAACACTTGCATTTTTCCTGATAACAGTGGAAAAATTTTAAACATTTTGTCATTTTATTTATGAATAAATGATTTAGTAAATTATTTATTAATAAATAATTAAAATATCTCCTTGCTATTTTTTCCAATACATTCATAGTCATTACTTTTGCCGGGGCGTGTCAGGAACCAAATGAATGACACGTGTAGGTATAATTAATCAGTGAAGTTGAGAGAAACTTTTGTGATTTTTTTTTTTTAATTACCATTAGAAGGATGAACAATACAGTTTTTTTTATCATATTTATCCAAACATTTGCCTGTCATTCAAAATCCTCAAATATGGCACTAGGCACATCCAAGTGTTTGTGTGGAGTGTGGAGCTGTTAGTGTGTACTGCATGACATGAAGGCACCAGTGCAAACACTTGCATTTTTCCTGATAACAGTGGAAAAATTTTAAACATTTTGTCATTTTATTTATGAATAAATTATTTAGTAAATTATATATTAATAAATAATTAAAATATCTGCTTGCTATTTTTTCCAACACATTCATAGTCATTACAATTACAACAATTAAATTTTTTCCTATACTTCTATTTCTGTATATAGTACATTATTTTTTCGCCGGGGCTCTGTGGCAAGCTTTATGTAATTAAAGTAATTAAATTAATGTAAACATGCAATTAGTCAACTAATGGCTTAAATGAATGACTACTAGTCGACTAGAAAAATCTTCAGTTGGGGCGGCACTAGTTTGATTTTGCAATGTTAAACTGTTTTATTTTTATATATATTATGAGATTGTGTGTCTGATGTTAACAATTATAATTTTCTCCATTACTACTTTATCTGGCAAATGGCTGTAGAGATAAACTGGTTAACAGTCTGAATTCACCTTTATTTTCAACAGAACATGTATCTTTATTAAATGATAAAATATACTGCATCTTTTGTCAGTAAATATATATGGATGTGTAATTATTCAGTTATTTATTACTCTGTTCAGATTGGAAAGCTGTAAACTCACTGGTCAGAGCTGTGAATCTGTGGCATCAGTTCTACAATCATCAAACTCCCGTCTGATAGAGCTGGACATGAGTAACAATGAGTTGCAGGACTCAGGAGTGAAGCTGCTCTCTGATGGACTGAAGAAACCAAACTGTCAGCTGAAGATACTGAGGTTTGAGATTCAGATGTGTTTTACTGTATATGTTCATTTGATACACATAAAGTATCATTACCAAATCAAATAAGTTATTGAAATTATGTTTAATAAAACTGATAGTTCTGCTTCTTGATTGGTGATTAGCTGAGCTGCATTTGAAGCTGTTGTAAAACACTCTGTAAACACACACCTGTGACATTATTACATCAGTATCATTGTGTTGTTATGTTGCTGTGTCCGTGTTGCTTGGCATTCATTCATCTAAACATTGCTGAGGAACTATTATAGAAAGGAATCCAAGGCACTTCTTCCGGTCCAAAAAAGTTAAAAAGCCTTTATTCTCATTATGGTCATCACAATCGAAACATTAAAAATGACTAAAACACTGCACACTGATGCATTTCAGCCTTCAGCCTTCCTCAGAGTGTGTCAGGAACCAAATGAATGACACGCGTAGGTATAATTAATCAGTGAAGTTGGGAGAAACTTTTGTGATTTTTTTTTTTTAATTACCATCAGAAGGATGAACAATACAGTTTTTTTTAAATCATATTTATCCAAACATTTGCCTGTCATTCACAATCCTCAAATATGGCACTAGGCACATCCAAGTGTTTGTGTGGAGTGTGGAGCTGTTAGTGTGTACTGCATGACATGAAGGCAACAGTGCAAACACTTGCATTTTTCCTGATAACAGTGGAAAAATTTAAAACATTTTGTCATTTTATTTATGAATAAATGATTTAGTAAATTATTTATTAATAAATAATTAAAATATCTCACGTGAGCGCCGCGATGCAACAGCTGGCCGAACAAATAACTGAAAAGGGGGCAAAGGTACCCAGACTCTATTTTAATAATTCTTGGAGACTTTAACAAATCAAATCTCTCCCGTGAACTGCCAAAATACAAGCAGCATCTGACCTTGGGCATGCACACGAGTGCTGAGCCTGGCGTCTGGGGCTCCGCTACGCCTGACTGCCGAGGGTGCGGGAGGAACTCCAACCGGGTTCGCCATGGGGAACTGAACTGAGAAGAAAAAAAAGCGCACGTATCCGGTCCGTAGAGGGGACTGGCGCAGCAAGGAAGCAGGCAAAGGGCTGGTCTGAGGTCCTGAAGCTCTGCGTACGGTCCACATAAGTGCGCAAAGCGCGAACAGGACAGAGCAGAACAATGGCTGGGTCTGCCTCCTCCCGGGGCAGCGCTTGCAAGTTCACCACCTGATCCCTACCAGCACAGAGGTGAACCGAATGCCCCTGAACTTGGGAGGGCGCCGGGCGAATTGAATCGCATAGCCGAGTCTGACGGTTCTCATGAGCCAGCGACCGAACAAGCGGGACTAGGGAAACCACCGACATACCTGCAGTAAACATGCAATTAGTTGACTAATGGCTTAAATTAATGACTACTAGTCGACTAGAAAAATCTTCAGTTGGGGCGACACTAGTTTGATTTTGCAATGTCAAACTGTTTTATTTTTATATATATTATGAGATTGTGTGTCTTATGTTAACAATTATAATTTTCTCCATTACTACTTTATCTGGCAAATGGCTGTAGAGATAAACTGGTTAACAATCTGAATTCAACTTTATTTTCAACAGAACATGTATCTTTATTAAATGATCAAATATACTGCAACTTTTGTCAGTAAATATAAATGGATGTGTAATTATTCAGTTATTTATTACTCTGTTCAGATTGGAAAGCTGTAAACTCACTGGTCAGAGCTGTGAATCTGTGGCATCAGTTCTACAATCATCAAACTCCCGTCTGATAGAGCTGGACATGAGTCACAATGAGCTGCAGGACTCAGGAGTGAAGCTGCTCTCTGATGGACTGAAGAAACCAAACTGTCAGCTGAAGATACTGAGGTTTGAGATTAATTTCCAGTATACTGATATATTAAAGAATCTGCTAAATATATAGTCAAAATGTGTAATGTGTGAATTTTGTATTTGTTTGTGTAAGAGTCACTCTCAGAGAAAAAAAGAATATTGTTGTACAGAAAACAATTAGCAGAGTGTCAACAGCTCAGTTTAAGATGCTATTGATGCAGCATTTCATTTACAAAGAACCTAAAATCAAAACTTACACAAACACAGCCTTCAGGAGATACAAATCTATTAGCTCATGATGGATGTGTAATTATCCATTTTTTTTATTACTCTGTTCAGACTGGAACGCTGTAAACTCACTGGTCAGAGCTGTGAATTTGTGGCATCAGCTCTACAATCATCAAACTCCCGTCTGATAGATCTGGACATGAGTTACAATAATCTGCGGGACTCAGGAGTGAAGCTGCTCTCTGATGCACTGAAGAAACCAAACTGTCAGCTGGAGATACTGAGGTTTGAGAATCAGATGTGTTTTATGTGAATTTGATCCACATGATATAGGGATGTAAAGATTCACTCATTGTCTCAAATGCATTGATTGCAAATCCTGATGATGCATATACATCAATCTTGAAACATGGATTTCTGAATTGTGAAACATTTCAGAAGTATCTTCAGCATTAACACCAGATTTTTTATTGCGAATCTGCTGTTTGACGCTGCAGTCATCAAGTCTGCCTAAATCAGTGAAACATTGTAGTTTTATACACATTTTAGGAGGCATAGCTCAGAGCAGACAAAGCTCCTGGGCGACGACCTTAAAGCATGCAAAGGGAGTAAGCAGTTATAGCATCCGCATCAGACTCTGGAATGTCACCAGCCCTAATTCAGTCAGCGATTCTGGAATTATATTATCATAGAGATTAAGAAATGTCCACACCTTAATTATTGATGATCACTAACAGTGAGCACAAAGAATGGGCAAATGGAGAGGGATACCAAGAGTCATTAGACAAACAGTGATTGTCTCAGTTATTTTGCTTGTTTGACTCAACCTACTAGAACCTTTGCATAACATTAATTAATTGACGTCATCATCTTCACTTTAAATGTCAAATACAATGTACATCACTTAAGTTTTTCAGGTGATCTTTTGTCATTACACAGGATCAGCAGATCTTAAGCAGTTTCTTAAATTTGTAATCCCACAGCATCTTCTGAGCACCTCATATTTGATCTGTCCTCGGGACGGTCACTGATTATCACATGAGCTGATGACAGATCTCTCATAATAGCGCTAGTCTTGAGTGAAATCATTTTACAGCCTTATCAGTTATTTCCAGCAAAAAATAATAATTGTGAAATGAGATTTTGGTCGCATTGCTCACCCCAACTCTGAATGCATTTAAAAGATACAGAATCAATTTGAATCACATTGAAGGGAATTGTTCTGAATTTGATAAAATTGTTCCTGAATAGAATCAAAAACCTATGAATTGTGAATCAAATTGATTAGCTGTCTACCCCTCTGTAAACACACACCTGTGACATTATTACATCAGTATCATTGTGTTGTTATATTGCTGTGTCCGTATTGCTTGGCATTCATTCATCTAAACATTGCTGAAGAACTATTATAGAAAGGAATCCAAGGCACTTCTTCCAGTCCAAAAAATTAAAAAGCCTTTATTCTCATTATGGTCATCACAATCGAAACATTAAAGGGGTGGTTGACTGGTTTTTTTATAGGCTTGATTGTGTTTATGGGGTGCAGTCTAACATGTGCTAATGCTTTGTTTGTTAAAAAACGCATTATTTTTCACATAATTTACCTTTATTCCACACCGCCATGTCCCTTCTCTGAGAAACGCTCTGATCATTTCCTGCTTTTATGAAGCCCCTCCCTCAGAATACACGATGGGCTCTGATTGATTAGCTGGCCCAGTGTGTTGTGATTGGCTAAACCGCCTCTAG